AATTTTGTTACGTGATCAAGTAAAACAAACAATAAATAATGTACAAATAAATGCACATAAATACATCAAACATTTGATATTATTTCTATTAGTACGTATTATTGAATTTGATATTACTTTTATTATTCATTTTCACCGACTTTATTCCTCAACTTTATCTTCGAAATGTTCTCTTTATATTATCTCTTAATTCTAATAACATTCGCTTATAATCCCTTAGACGTTCATCAAAAAAGAACTAACAAAAACAACTCGTAGTGTCTCAGATAAGACCGAATAGAAATTACCGGTGTCTAACGAACGAAATCTAATTACGGAAATAATTAGAAAAAGATGAAAGATGGAAGGAGGAAATGAAATATAAGAGAGAAGAAAAAGGAGGAGAAAAGCAGAGGGTAAAAAGGAAAATACGAGAAAAGCAAGTGAGCTTAAGTAAGAGAGAGAGAGAGAGAGACAGAGACAGAGAGGGAAAAATAGATAAATAGATAAATAAAGAAAGAGATAGAAATGCCAATAAAACCACAAGAATCTTTCGCAATCGGATTACTGCTTAAGAGACGATCCTAGTTCTTGTTCTCCTTCACAGTTTTACAGTCGCTCCTGTAAACTTTATTATTCCCGTCTGGAATTTCTTTTTCCTTTTTTTTCTTTCTCTCTATCTATCTCTCTCTCTCTCTCTCTCTCTCTCTCTCTCTCTCTCTCTCTCTCTCTCTCTTTCCGCAAAGTATATATACCTCCAAGAGTTTGGATACTTCGATGTCACGAACTTTAAATAACATCGTTAAGAGTGCGAACGTTATACTGTTTCTAGCTCGATATATCAGCAGCTCCTAGAGAACTCTTGGAGAGCAATTGGAAAGAAAAACAAGGACGAAATTCGATGAACTTTAGTATACAGTGTTACTATTAACTCTTTGAGTTTGCCCCTGATAAACATTCGCATTCAATTATCACTTTTCAAATTAATCATGATTCTTGATATTATGTTTCTCTAACTAACATCCTGCATCTTTGATCAAATATTCTCTGTTTTTTATTAATTCTCTGTAGATTTTAAAATCAAAGAGTACTCTATACGTATTTATGGGATACTCTGAAAAGAAACTATATCAATAAATTTTCATTCAATAAATTATTACTTTGTCATAATTTACTTTGATACTCTTACGTGATTTATTCGGTTAAATATTTGCAACAGGTTGCTTTTTGTTTACTGTTGCTTAATCATTAATATCTTTTAGCGTTGAACTTTTATTATCTTTTTTTAACTTAAAGAAGTAGATGATTCTTGTTCATTCATTATTTCTTTAGAATCGTCTGAGGTATCAAAATTGAAATTATTTTTCCTAGTTACATCGATTAGTAATATTTCTGGACTTTCAGACAATTCTTTTTCATCCCTAATTGACTCTATCATTATAATAGTGTAGTAGTGGTAATAATAATATGATGGTGTGGTGGTGTGGTGATAGCACTAATAGTAGTATGTAGTAGTATTCCTCTGACAGTACTCGTGACGTCATCGTCGTAAACGAATCGACGAGCACGTTGCTTCGTTTACTACGATTTCTCCTGGTGAATCGCGCTATAGCAGTAGTACTACGCGCATTCGTGTAAAGCCGTACATCTTCGGGAATCGACGCAACGATCGGGGACTATTTCGCGTGCGCTTAACTGATCGAGTCAAATGTATATATATATATATATACTCTCTCTTCAATTAATCGAACAAAATATCGCCTCTAAAATTAAGAAAAGAAAACAACAACTGCATAAGTGTATATACATCTCCACCTACAAACATTCAAACTTATAATAATTAATATCGTTTTTGTTTCATATGTTTACGAAGTTATTCCGTAATAATTAAAACGACACACAAAAACCGGTTTTCTTTTCCGTTTCATTTTTATTTTTCCAAATAGAAAAAACGGAACAAATATACATTATGACTCAATATATAAAAATATATTTTAAATTGACTACATATATATGTATATCTTTCTCGTTCTCGTTCTCGTTCTCGTTCTCGTTCTCGTTCTCATTCTCTTTCAATCGATCTGACAGTCTCGCATTTGAACTCCCCGCCGTGCCGCCCTCTTTCCAGAGCGAGCTCACGCGCGCAAGGTATACGCAGAAAGGTAGAAAAATAAAAAAAAAGAGAAAGAAAAAGGGATGATGCTTACCTTTTCCAAAATTTTCTTCACGACGGGAGTTTCCTGTTACATTCCAGAGACTAACGTTGTTGTGTAGTAGTAGTAGTATCGTTACACCACCACCGTTCCTGACACGATTACCGTCTCGATACTCTTCTCTCGATGTTGAGATGATAGTCGTATGAGGCGCGGCCACTGCTTCAAGATATTTTCTCTTTCTCTTCCTCTCTGACTTTGATCTTTTTTTTTCTCTCTCACAACGAACCAGTCACCGAATCTCCACTATCCCATTCGAATTTTATTTCTTTGTATTTTGTCTCCTTTTATTAAGATATATATTAAATGTTTAAATAAGAAGGAGAGAAATAGAATTTTCTTTGAATGTTCTCTCACCGTATTCGAAAAGAAGTTAATAGAGGCGCGCGCGTGACTCAAATGCACGCACTGTGTTCTTCGGGTTGGTTCGTTGGGCGCGCGCGCGTGCGCACACGCTTGTGTATATATCTCTATCTTGCTTCCTCTCTCCTTCTTAATCTCTCTCCTTCTCTCTCTCTCTTTTAACTCTTCTTTTTAGATAAGGCCGTTTAACCGTACCTCGCACACAACGATCTAGCTAGCAGAGAACACTTAGGTACTTTTTGCTTACTTATACGAACGCATATACGAACACACACACACACATCCGACTACACCAATAGAAAAGACGCGCACGACCAACCGAATGGGCCGGAACTGACCCTCGTTCTTTTACAACGACGAATCTCGGAAAAACACGCTTCTGCTCCCCCCTCTCTTTCTCTCGTTCTCTAAATTTTTCTCTCTTTCCACCACCCTCTGCAACTCCCTCTGCAACTCCCTCTGAATTACCACCGACAGTCACTGCCACCGGCGCGTTATTGTTGCCTTTGCCGTTGTTGTTGCTGTTGCTGTTGGTGCTCTTGCTATTACTTTTCCTCTTGCTCTGACTACTCTTGATTTTTCTCCACTTACTTTTACTAATACAATTTCGAACCTTTCGTTAGCTTCGTCGTCAAATCTTTGATGACTCTGATAATGATGATGGTGTCGATTAGAATTGTACCCACCCTCGCCACAAGCTCCTCTCGAGATTCCGTACATCTCCCGAACACAACGTGTGCGGACTCTATTCTATCTTTTGAATTCTTTCTTATTCGTCTCTGAAGTGATCAAGGATATCAAACTCGTCTGGTCGACAGACGCCTTCTCTTTGACGCGGGTTCCCTTTGAAGGTTCAACGCACAGCCGTCCACTGAATGCCTCAATGGCCCATCGTCCATGGAGACGCACCGATCATGCCGATCGACGTCAACTTAACGCGTCCTTCTTCCTTTTTCTTTCCTTTTTTTTTTTTCTTATTTCTTTTTACGTTTCTGCGTCCTTCCTTCTCTCCTTCTCCTGTTCAATCACCGCCACCACTACTACCACCACTACCACCACCTCTTCCTTCTTCTCCTTCTCCTGTTTCTCTTACTCTACCTTCCGATCGTGTGACACACGATCCCAACCAGGCCCTTTGGCCCTCCGAAAGTCGTCGAGTCTTCTAATCTCGCGACACCGTACGCACCGTACGCACTGTACGTGTGACTTTTCGTAAGACAAAGATAGAAAAGCAGAACTACAGACACTCTTCTTCTTCTTTTGTTTCTTCTTATTCTTATTTTTATTTTTATTTGCTTATTTCTTTTTATTCTCTTTCTCTTTTATTTTGTTCCCACCGTCTTTGAAAAAATTACTACTACTACCTGTTATTATTATTACTATTACTACTTGTTTTACTACTACTACTACTACTATTACTACTACTACTACTCGTCGTTCTCTCGAATCATCGGGACCAAATGAACGCGTTACGCGCTGGCACGGCCCACGTCCTCGATCGAACCTTATAATACGACGTGATTTTTTGGGGTCGGCCACGCACACGTGCGACAATCGTAAAGTTAAACGACGGAAGCGCACCGAGCTTTTGTACCGTTTAAAGTATATTCCGCTTTTTTTTCCCTTCTCCCCTTCTTTCTCCTCTCTTTTTCACGGAGACATACCCGACTCGTCTCCTCCTTCGCCAACGCCTACACGATACACATTGCACGCAGAGCAACGACGCCCCTACACGCTGATGACAGCGGTTCTCAATTGACATTACGTGAATATTCTTCTATCCTCAATGTTTACTTGTTTCACCGGCAGAGCACGCCTCCCCTGCGTGGCAAATTTTAAAGAAGGGGGTGGCCAATGAACTCTATTGGTTCAATGATTTTAACTTAACTATTCTCGCTCTCGTCTATTATTGATACTAATACTACTTTTATTCTGAAATGGCATTATAGTATTACATATAAAATACACATCATGTTATTAAAAATATTTCTTAATGCATAATATAAATGAATTATAACAACAAAATTTTATTACAATTCAAATTTCCCGCGCACTCGTGCGCTTAAAACTGTGGTTTTTTAAACCACCAATCAACATTAAAAACAGTCTTGGAAAATAATTTATACATAACTATTATAAAATTTATATATAAAAGAAAATAAAATATACACTTTCCTTCATTTATTATTATTTAATATTAAGTCGTTTATATAATAATAAAAACAATTTCACATTGACAAAAGTTATATCGGAAATAACTAGCATTTGAATGAAAGTAACCAGAAAAGTTCCATTATTGAATTCATTAAATAAACGTTTATTTCTAAATATTTAATATTATAAAAAATCGATAAAACAATATAATTAACAAATAAACACGCTATAATAAATTGGACTTTTTCATAAAATCTTATATTTTCAAAACTCACTAGAACTTTTCTATTGGCTACTTTTAATATCCAATCAAGTAGCGTAAGAAACGGATTGAAAAAAACTATCTAACTTTACTATCTATGTTTATAAGATTGAAGCATAGCGTAACCTACGCAGTCGTAAAGTGGCGATGGCGTTTTGTGTTTTATATTCATTTGTGAATAAAATCTGGAATTTATGCGCATTTTATAATACGATATCAATCTATAATTATAGTTTTTATCTTTTCAAAGATCTTCGAGATATCATTGTTTCCTCGTTATAATATTATCGAAGATTAAAAATTAGGCCATCGTTATTACGAGAATCTAAAAAATATTAAAGAAGAAGCCTTCCTCATTAAGGGAACAGCCGGCGAACGTGACTCAGTTTATTCATCAAATGCAATATTTTCATGTTAACGACAACATATTATTGAGAATAGAAGTTGAGACAACAGATGCGTTAGATACTGGTAAGTTTTATTAATATTTATTTCTTTACAATATTTTATTATGCATATACGATCTTCCCGCCGTAACCTTTCATGCTTCGTAACAAGTAGTATTACTACCAACGCATTTTATAACTTTCGCCATGTGATCTCTCGTGTAAATATATACACATGTGCGTTACTTTTTTATTACATTTTTCATTTTATTTCTTATTTATTTCTTGTTTTTTCTTGTTTTTTCTTTGGTTTTTTTTTTTTTTTTTTTTGNTTTGCAATTACATAAATTTATTTCTCCCAATGCTGTAATAAAAATATTTAATTAAAAATTATAAATACAATTTTGAACAAAATTATTCTATACAAAGTAGTTAATAAATGAATGTTTAAATTATAGAATACGTACAAAGCATTCATAGAAATGTCTGATATAACAAAAATTGAAGATTCACTGATGGAAACACAGGAAACATACTTTGAAAATTCAAAAGATGATATAGATAATAGTCAGGATTTTCAACTTGTTGATACAGATGAAACAAATATGTCTAAAAATAAATTAGAAGAAATTCAATCCGAGACTGATAATTCAGAAACTAAAGGCGATTCTAATGCGCAGCAGAATAAATCTCTGGAAGATATTGCAGTTGAAGATGCAAAGAGTAAGGTAGAAAAGATAAGCGAAGTTGTTAGGGATGAAAAAGTAAATACTGAAGAAGATAGTTGTAAACTCGATAACCAAAAGGATGATACAGATGAGGAAAATGATATCATTGAAGGTACACCTCCTGATATGTTGTCTTCATCTAAAAAAGAATTTCATGATATATCAGAAAGTGGAAGTAGTCTTAAACGTAAAATGGATTCTCCTGATAATTCGGTTACTAAATTTTTGAGAAGTTCATCCTTGGAAAATGCATTAAGTTTAGAGAAAAGTAAATTTCATAGCAACGATAGTCAACAATCAAATGAATCAGATGACTCTCAACCAAATATTGCAAGAAATTGTATAATATCAAATGTAATAATAGAAGAAACTCAGGATGTAGAAGGCGAAGAACTTATGGAATCGAGTAAAAAAACTTCCGATATGATCTTAAATGAAGCCAAAGATGATCAAAACTGTGAATCATGTTCTGTACAGACATTATTAGATAAGAATGAAAACAATGCTAACAAACTTTTTGAAATAAATCAAAACGAAACTGTGAACAATCCTACTACATCTGATACAGCTGATAATGTAGTAACTACTACTACCACTGTTGCTACTGCGTCTTTTACTACTACTAGTACTACTCTTACTACTAGTACTACTGTTAGTACTACTGTTAGTACTAGTACTACTCCTACTACTAGTGCTACTCTTACTACTACTGCTACTACTACTGCTACTACTACTGCTACTACTACTAGTACAAATGATACAGATAAAGAAAATACGTCAGATGCTGTATCAGTGACAAAAAAGGGTGAAGAAGAATTATCTGAAAGTCAAGAAATATCACTAATCGATGTAACCGGGAAGAATAATTTAAATCCTGATATATCAGACAATTCTAAAGAAACAAATGAACAAGATGTATGTACTTCTTCAAGTAAAAAAGATGATAAAAGTTCAACATCTAAAGATATCGATGAAGTTAATTTAGAACATAAGAACAATATTAATGAAGAAATAGTAGTAGATGAAACAATAGTAAACAAAGAGCAACCTGTTGCAAGTACTTGCCCAAATAAATCACGTAAGAGTATTGAAGTGGTTTATGATAAAGCAACTATGCTGCAGAATAAAAAAATTAGACCAACATTAGTTGAAATTGACGAAGATGGAGAAAAAATTATTTTAGATTCATCGGAAGAAAATTGTATAGGAAAAATAGGAGAAAAGGAAGTTTTTGATACTACAAATACTACAAATAATTTTATTAGTTGTTATGATAATACATCAAATAGTGATTTCAGTTATAAATCTATAATTAACAGTAAAGAATCATCAGATTTTAAATCTGATAAACATCATTTTAATGGAAGTAGTGAATGTAAGAGAAGTGATACAGATGGTACGGCAAGTGTAGAATCAGATACATTTAATAATGAATTGCCTTCTTCTGTTTTTAAAAATGATAATAACTTACTTTCTTTAAACAAAGAAATGAAAATATCTACTTCTGGATCTAAAAGGAACGATCATACAGATTTGATAAGTATAAGTGATAACGAACATGATGTTTCACTTATAGATGATAATAGTAATAGTAAATCTGAGTTAAATAATGCAAATTTACATACAAAAGTTTTACAAGTAGAAAAAGAATTTGGTATATATGTAAGATTAAAATGTTCTTTACGTTATGATGAAAGTACAAAAGAAATCGTGAATAAGGAATTAACAAGTGTTCATTGTGAACCCTTAGCAGAACTTTCATCCTTACGCTTAAAACAGGATGATGTTTCTGCTTCATTAGCTGATATTTCTGGAAACGATAACAAAGATAATTCTCCAGGATCTGTTAACAGTAATCCGCAATTGTTTCAGTTAAATCCTTCAAGACTTTCTATTCTTTCATCAGTTAGCTCTTCTAGCTCAGCATCTAGCGCTGCTTCTTTAATGAATAAACTTCGAGATCCACGTTTTCAACTACCTCTAGGTCCAGCTAAACATGCAAAAAAGACAGTATCTGGATCATCAGCATCACAAAAACAAAATCGAGATGAATCATATGAAAGATTAACTAAAGAATGGAAGAACAGTCATTTGTTAATTACAGCTATTTTAAATTATTTAAATTCAGAAGTCAGTATGCTTGATACTTTATATAACCTAAATAATGAAAATGATAGTCTTCAAAAAATAAGGTCTTCCACGCCAGAAGATCAAGAAGAAATAGTAATGCAAACAACTACTCCAAAAAGTTCGAGGAAAAATAGAGCGCCTAAAAGATCTCGATGTAAAAGTAATAAATCAGCAGCAGCAGCAGCATCAACATCAGGTGTACAATCAAATGGAGATTGTAAAATTGCACAAAAAGATATAATTTCTATGCAAGAAAATAACGATACTCCTATTAGTAAAAAGAAGAGTAAAATAGATAAAACGAGTAGTGATACTCCATTAAGTACAACTGCTTCACTTACAAAAAACGTATCATATATTAATGATGAATTGGTTGGTAAAGAAGTATTTGCCAAATGGTCAGATAATAATTATTATCCAGGCATAGTTACAGAAAAGTCTAAATTAAAATATAAAGTCAATTTTTACGATGGAAAAAATAAATTACTCATAGAAGATTTTATTATACCAATACCAAAGACTTTAAAAGAAGGCTTATCAGTTTATGCGACTACAGCCGAGGACGATTATGGTTCCTGTGGATTAATAGTTGAAATTGAAAATCTTAATAATGATATATATTATTTGGTAGAAACAGATGAAGGTGAAAAAGTTAAAGTCCAAGTCAAAGACATCTTTTTGTCATCGGATCAAGCGTTAGTATTAAAGGAAGAAGTGTATGAAAAAATAAACAACCTTCCGGTTACGCCTAAGATTTCTGGTCAAATAAGTTTAGATAATATGATAGATGGAAAACGGCGTTCTAAAAGAATTGCTACACCTACATTATCTACGCCAAAATCTAAGATATTGGCTGGTAGTTCTATTGAGAAAAATATCAATATATCGGAACCCTCTGTTTCTGGTATACCTTCGAAAACTAAAAAGAGAGATTCTTCTGAAAATGAGAGTAAATCTAGCGATTCAAATTTATCTGTAAAAGATGAAAGTCTATTAAGTGGAGTACAAGTAGAAATTGTTGGTACTCCAAACGAGCAGATAGTGAAAGGACCTCAACACAGGATAAAAGGAAAATCGCGAAGTAAGAGAAAGGCTGAGAATGAAGAAATTGTTGCAGTTTTGGGTCCTATTCCAAACAACAATTCGACTTTATTTAAAGGCATGTCATTTATTCTTACTTGTGCATCGTTGGAAGTACTCGATAGGTATAGAGCAGATAATAAAGATTCTGGTTCTGAAACTGGAACAGAAAATGAAGAAGAATGGGTTCGCAGACCATTTGTAAGGGACAGATTGAGAACCCAAATAGAAACTGCAAAGGGAAAGATATATGACGATTTTGATTTAATACCAAAGGAAGAGTATAAAAACACTAAACTGATTACAAATGTGCCAAATACAACAGCTAAAAATTTATTGTGTCTTTCGGTTGGAATTTCTGCGTACAATCATAATTGGATTATACAATGTTGTCAAAAGGTATGTGTCAAAGGTATCAAATTATATTTATAATAAACTTCAAATATACTTGACTACTAATTGTTTCTTTTCTATTTTTAAGGACACGTTAGTAAATCCATCAGCATTTATGTTACCTGCTGGATGGAGTCTAGAAAAGGAATCTTATATTGAGAATTATGAGAGGCCTAATATTAAGCCGTTAGATCAAATAATAGTAATAATTCCAATTATAGAAACAGATAAAAAGTTTACATCATTTTGGCGCCAAGTATGTGAAAATGCAGGTGCCGTAGTTTTATTGGTGGATAGTTCAGGTATTATATCTTTCCTATTCATTTTCAAATTATCTCTTCATATTCTAGATTATTTTACGTACATATATATATATATATATAATGAAATAAAACATCTTATAATATCTATAATCTATAAAACATTGATCTTTATAGAAACTATGGAGAGATTAACAGAGGGCACAGTAGTTATTACTAATCGCAGATGTCCTTTATGGGCTGTTGCAAAAGCTGACGAATTGCAATTACCATTGCTATCTACGACATGGGTTACTCAATGTTTAATCGAAGGAAAAATCTGTGCATATAACTCGCAACTCCGTTACAAATACAATTATATGTAAAAATTAAAATCCTTCCTCTCCGACAAAGTGTTATTGACCATATCTGTAAGTACAACAAATATAGTTATGAACGAAGAATAAAAATAAAAGAATACATTTTGTTTATAAGTTTCACATTTTTTAAAATGTTTAATTTTTATGTATTCCTTCATATTTACGATTTGTTTAATGTATATATACACATAATATATTCTTAAATATATATATATGCATATATACACATATATATATTTAAACTGTATTTTTTATTAATTATAATTATTAAATCACTTTGTGAAATACTGTCTTATCATCAATCGTGCTAATATTATATGATATTTGGCAACATATCTTTGATAAACAATGTTTAATTTATCGATATAACATTATACAAAATTAATCAAAATGTTAAATATGTTATATTCAACAATTATTATGGTTTTATCTGTTTCTACTATATAAAAAGTGTGAATTATGGATAAAATTAAATTTATCCTTTTGTAATAGGTTCATTATATTTTATTACTTTTTTACTCGTTTCCGACATATAACAATTGTATATTATCATAAGTTTATATTTATTTTATACTTCAAAACAAATATTAACAAGTAGAGTAACATTTTTCTTTTATTTCTTTGAATTAATTCATAAATTATCGTCAATGTTTAATTTTGTTTTTTAATTATAAAAGCTTACATATAAGTGTCAACAAAAAAAAAAAAAAGAAAGAAAAAAAAAAAGCAAAAGAAAAGAAGAATTTGATAAATACTTCTCTGTATTTATGGTACTTACAGTGTTGGTATTGTTTCTCACAAAGCTGTAATATTAGAGTTTTGTAACATTTTGTATAAAAATAAAATATAAATATATATCAATTTTATATGGTGAACGAGTTAATTATAAGGAATGTTTATAATGTCTTCATTACAAATTGTGTGATATTGAAATGCAACAAACAGTAGATCATGGAACTGAATGAAACATTTATAATTAATTTTCATATAGATATACACATACGTATAATTTTACAATTTTTGTCTATCTATCAATGTTCTTTATGGTGCTTAATACCAATATGGTATTCTATCAAAACAGGAAGTCTTACAAAAGTGTCTTACAGATATCTGTGACATAAAAATAACACTCGTATTAAATCCTGTTAACATAAAATAATATATAAAACATGATCAATTAGTTGATTTACAGTGATACAAATCATTAATGTGATAAGTGTTAATGTAATAACCATAATATTCAATTAATGTGACATTATATTAAATAACATCTGTTTATAACAAATAACTAAATAGCATAATCAGATTTGTTTAAAAAAAAAAAAAAAAAAGCGATTACTTTTAACAATGCATATTATTACTACACTCATCTCATTGTGATTTGTATATAATAAATTTGAATACACGAATGATTGTAATTGAAAAATGTATATTATCAAATTTGAACATTTGTTATATTTTTAATCAATGATTATGATAAAGTGTATTTTTTAAACACATAACACGTAAAGAAATAATGCTTATACATTAATTGTATAAGATATCATTGTATAAGACATTAATTTTATTTTATTTAATTATAATATTTACTTACGATTAGATATTAATTAAACTTACTATATAAATTGAGTATTGATGCTTTCTCCTAAAGTGATGATAAAACATATGTGCGAAACATATAAACAAACTATTGTAAAATGTTATTCTCTCCAATACTCAAATATTCTTATTTTTCTTTTTGAGTTATCTATGGTGCATTTCAAAATTGGTACATCGAGAATAGGTCCACATGTACCTATTGAATGTGTATATATAAATAAATATACGATTATTTACAATTTCTATTAAATAAATTATAGCCATTATGTAAAATATCTTTGGGATAAAATACAATGACCTATTTTGTCAACAAAATTTATTAATAATTCTATACCCATCAACTGAACATTCATTTTTTTATTTGTAAACATAATTTAAATTACAATAATTAGTATAATTAATTAATTTATCATTACAATTGTATAATTGGAAATGTTATAAGCATCTCTCATTGACAAAAATAATTATTTAATTACAAGTCTCATTATGTATTGTATTTACATTAACATTTATCTCATAGAATAATGTTTATTTGTCTTTGCTCTATCTTAATGTATTGTAATGTTTTAAATAATTTAATTTATAAATTATACCAATCAAGGAAAAGTAAAGAAAATGACATAACAAGTAGGAAAAATAAAATCCACACTCTAAGTCCAGCGTTCCTTTGAATAGCTTGTCGAATCTGTTCATTAGCTTCTTTAACATTTTCAGTAGATCCAACGACCGTTGTCATTAAACGATCAAGATCTTTATCTTGATCTAATACTTTTTCTGTAAATATTTCCTGTAATTCAGCTATATGAACTACCTTGCTTTCAATTTGTCTGACCTCCTCCGTTATTGTACTAAGTTCATTATACAATTGTTCATTTTCTGATTCAAACATTTGAATGTCTTCGGGTGACAATTCTTCATATAAAAGAGTATTAACATCTTCATTAATTTCTTGAACTTTCATAGGATTTGATTTGCTCGAATTATTTTGATTTTCTGTATTATTATTTCTTTTTACTGTTATATTTGAAGCGGACCTTTTATCATTATCCATCGATATAACTTTATTCGATTTTCCATCCAATTCAAGTTTAGAAATAGTTCTCATTTCTAAGGCTCGTTTGACTCGCATTGCTTTTTGTTCCGAATAAATTTTACAAACATTTTTCAAATAATCTTCGATCAATAATAAAACAATTTCACGATGTTCCATATTTTGTCTAGAAACTTCTGAAAATGCAATTTCTCTTTTTAATTCTTTAATAAGTTGCGAACAAGTACTCATAATTGTTTGTGCTCCTGCATCTATTTGATCACGATCCGCATCAGTCATACGTGGTATATTGGTAAGATAATTGGTAAAATTCAAATAAGCTTTACGATTTTCTAATATAAATTCTTTGAGTTTAGTTATTTGACCAACCACTGCTTGGGTTTTAATATAAAAAGCACTTTTATTTCTAGTCTTTTTCAATGGTTTTGTTAAACTAGGTGATCCTACATTTTTTTCCTGTAAACTAACAGTTTTAACGCAAGCTCTGAATAATATACTGACATCCATCCTTGATAATATTGCTATTGGGCTCGTTAACACTTTTTTATTAAATAAAAGTAATCCAGGTTATAGAACTATTTATATTTTATGCCTGGAAAAAGATATGTTTATCAAAATAATGATCACCTTTTCTCTGATGCATCATATACAAATATTTTCATTTTAAGAATCTATAATTTACATTGTTACATATAAATAATATTAAAAAGTCAATTGACTTAATTTTAGAAATTAATATTCAATATACTATTAAGATGAGTCAAAAAAAAAAAAAAAAAAAGAAAAAGAAAAGTCATACAAGGATAATGTTCATTTTATTACCTATTCTTACAAATAAATTCTACTATAATATTTGTAATAAAGGTCAACTCATTTCCATAAATATATAACTTTAACAATAATTAACATTCACCAAATATTAGTCGTGTGAAAATGTACCAACCATATTGTGTTATTGTTGTACCGTCAAACATAACCTACAGAAATGTTCATAAGTTTGAAGGTAAGAAGTTTTATATTAAGTTGTGATATATAATATTATTGTGTAATTACAATCATTCACGTGACTACAATTAAAAAAAAAAAACATTAATTTATTTAATCCATTTGTATTAGTAAATTATTTTTATTATTATCATAAAAAATTGTATTAATTACTAATCGTTAATAATTTTAATGTACATCCGGTTGACGTATCTTGAATTTTTACTTTCAATTATTATAATTAATATAAAATTTAATATCTAAGAAGTTTAAATAAATAATACAAATATTATAAAAACACTATTAGATTTTCTAATTTATAAACGAGATGATTTAATTAAAATTCGAGAAGAAAATACATATAAAAATAAAAAAAAAATAAATAATTTCATATATGTATATTTTTTTTATACTACATTATTATAATTATTATAAGAAAAGTGTTTAATTGATAAATTTATAAAATTTATAAAAAGTATTAATAGCAACATTAGGAAAATTAATATAATAACAATATAAATTTATTTGATGTTTATCATTTGTATCTAGGGACCCTGCACTCACAAAAATATGCAATAGCGGAGTGAAGTGGAAATTCTAGTAATATCTAGTATCGAAATGACAAGATGGCACGTCAGCAGCAAAATGATGTCGATGAGTTATTCGACGTAAAAAATCATTTTTATATTGGTAATTATCAACAATGTATCAACGAAGCACAAAAAATCAAAGTACGTAGATTATCTAATTTATGCTGGTATTTTTTTTTTATATTGCCAATTTACAGATTATTATTTTGCTTTCGCAATCCATACTACTGCATTAGTGTAATTTATTATTAAGTCTACATTAATACTATTTTTTTTTACATGAAAGACAATATATTTTATTACATATATATATATATGTATATACATGTATAACATTTAATAATTTTTCATGACAATAATTATCTTTATCTTATGAATTTATTAATCAATATATTTAATCTCCCTGTAATGTTAAATGTTTAAAAAATTGCAATGTTTGTATTTCCATACTGTTTCTAATATTAAATTCTAAGTGTGTATCTGTGAAGACATATTTTTTTTTTTGTAATAATAATAATAAATTATAAAAGTCATTGTTATACATTAAATGTCATATTAAATGTCATTATTAAATTATCTATAAGATTTTTACTATAACATATTTTGTATATATTTTTCTTTTAATTACAGCCTTCCTCACCGGAAGTGGCAATGGAACGTGATGTATTTTTATATCGTGCTTACATAGCACAAAGGAAATTCCGTGTTGTTTTAGATGAAATTAATAATTCATCGCCACCAGAGTTACAACCATTGAAAACTTTAGCAGATTATTTTGCTAATCCATCACGTAGAGAAACAATCATTGCAGAATTAGATCAAGCTGCAAATCACACTAATGTAGATAATCATAATTTTATGATCGTTGCTGCTACTATATATTATCACGAAAAGAATTTAGAATCAGCACTAAGAGTACTTCGTAATGTTGATCATTTGGAATGTTTAGCATTAACATTACAAATTTATTTGAAAATGGATCGGTTGGATCTGGCAAGGAAAGAACTTAAAACGATGCAAGAGAAAGATGATGATGCTACATTAACGCAATTAGCTCAAGCGTGGTTAAATATAAGTAGTGGAGGAGACAAATTACAGGATGCTTATTACATATTTCAGGTATTATAAAACATAAATGATATAGCATTTATTAAACAAATTAAAAACTGATCTATTCAATTATCGAGATAAATTATCATTCACTAATTGTTTCAGGAAATGATCGATAAGCATTCCAGTACAAGTATGTTGTTAAATGGCCAAGCTACTTGTTTTATCGGTCAAGCAAAGTACGAAGAAGCTGAAACTGCTTTACAAGAATCGCTTGATAAAGATAGTAATAATCCTGACACCTTGATCAATATGATTGTCCTTTCACAACACATGGGGAAACCACCAGAAGTTGCAAATCGTTATTTAAGTCAACTAAAGGATTCTCATTTGGAACATCCATTTGTTCAAGAATATCTGCAAAAAGAAATTGAATTTCAAAGACTTAGAAAACAATATTCATCATCTGCCTAAATTAAAATGCATTGAGACTTTGGCATTTCATGGATCGAGTAAAATACAAGTATTAATGAGAATATTGAATCAGTTTTTGAATAGAGCGTACTACAGAATGTAGACAATATTTATGGGACAAAAGGCGTATGAGATTTTGTCATGAGGCTTGATTGAATGATAGTAAAGCAGTTTGCTCTTAAGTAAGAATATTCTGTTTTTATATAAATTTCTATGACATTATCAAAGAAATAAACGTACATGTCCAGAGATTTTTCCAAAATTAATCTTTTTATAATTAAAAAAACACTATTGTGATAAAATTGCAAAATTAAAAACAAAAAAAGTAAAAAAAAGAAAATCGTATTTAATCCAAATAAATTTAAAACACAACTCATGATAATAATAATAATAATAATAATGTTTTAAAAATAAAAGAATCACGTGTGGCTGCCATTTTATAGTACAGTCAATAAGATATTTCTGATATGCAATTTTTTCATTTTGCATGTATCATCTTTTTTATCATAGAAATTTACGAGTAGTTATATACATACATAGGTACATGCATATAACAAGTAAGTTATTGTACTATATATTAGTTTGCAATAAAGGAAGGCTACAAGCACTTTCTTTTTTATCTTAATATTTCATTGAAATGAAAAATAAAATATATAGCTCGTATACATAATAACAATTATAAAATCATAATTTCAAAGTCATTATCACTTTAATTTTGTTAACAATGTAATTAATAATTTTTATTTTATCTTTAACGGTAAGCATTAGTTGATTTTTATTATGTTTTGTATATTATTAATTTATCATTATTTATAATACAAATGATAGATAATTATTAGTTAATACATCATTACAATCTTATTTATTGTTTCATACATATATGGATGTGTATTTAAATGTAGAAGTTTGTAAAATAATTATAAATGTAGATAAAGAAGATTTTTTGGAAACGAAACATATCTCAGTCGGTATTTGAAAATTTGACCAGTAATGCTATCTAACGAGAATTATTAGAAACATGCAAAGCCAGTCGAGAAACATCCATATTACGTCAAAAGAATTCGAAAATTTAAACGTATAATCGGTATAATAGAAAGCTTAGGATCCGTGTAGTTTGCTCGTGAACGTTGTACTTGTTGCGCTTAAAAAGAAATATTCGTAACTCCCCCAAGCTCTCCCTACCTGCCTCAGTAACCATAAAATAAGAATAAAGATTAAATAAGATAAACGTCTCAAGAATTGAATATATTGAAATATTAAAATCGTGTTGTTTATAATATCAGTTTGAATTAACCGAAAAGAAAAAGAAAAGCTTATCGAAGGATGCATTGTTACATTAAGGACATATTATCATAACATGGCGACTGAAAGCAGGTATTTATTTGTGTAATCATGTTATTAGAAAACTTAGCAGCAATTTTATGGATGCTTTTGACAGCTTTGATTTTGCTTGTTTTTTTTTTTAAGTAGAGATTGATTTGCTATCGCTCGAACGTTTGTTGTAGGCATTTATATGCTACATTAGTAAGTTTGAAAACGATCATTTTTAGATCTAATTTTTTTTTCTTGTTATTATTTTTTTTCAAAATCCTTTAGATATTTATCTCTGATCGAAAACAAGTTTCACGTCTGATAGGCGTACGACAAGCTGAAAGCCAACGATATTCTCATTTTTTTTTTCTTTTAAATCGACATAACCTAAAATGTTCGATAAAAACTTAACTTCCAAATTTAGCTAATCGTAGGCTAACGAATGTCTTTTAAATTTATATCAAGAAACACTAACTACATTTTCTTGTCTTTATTTTAAATATATATTTTGATTGTACGTCATTTAAGAAATAATAGTAATAATTAGTTTCTCATATTTTATTATTATTGTGATTGTTAGTATTTTTTTGATATATTTTAGACAAAAGATAGACAAAAGATTTGCATGGTACAACACATTAATAATATCTTCAATTAGAATTTACATTTTATTTATTTATTTATTTATTTATTCTGGAATCTAAAAGGTAACATTATTAGAGGGTGTGTATTCTAAAATAGATATTTTTTTATATTTTCAGGGAATATAAAGGCTTTTGTAAATTATAGTTTAGTTAGGAGCCACTACATCAAAAGATCAAGTATTATTTGTAATTTAAAGATAGTAAACTAAATTCTAGTCAAAATTTATTAAACAGAAGGCCTCTAGAAAGTTTTCTTTGACAACACATTCCATAAACTAATCATAAACTCACAAAGGACATCAAATATATTTATATATACATACATACATATATACATATATATATGTATATATAAAGATAACAAAGAACAAGATATATGGGTTAAAATCAGAAATTTCATGGTTTATGATCATACCTTTTAACTTCTTATTATAAATACGATGCATAAATATTTATTGTGCTATTGTGGTTCAATATATTATTTAAAGAAATAAAATATTAAATAGATCTGCGCTAATTAATGTATATTTTGCTTTTTCTTGTAGATTGCTTATTTTGTTAAATACCATGACAAAATATTATAGAATTAAATGAATTAGTTATTTTGATCTTTGAACATTTATTTCATTGCGAATCATTGTTTGTTTTTTAATGTTATTATTAAATATAGTATATACTTTGTTAGTGTAGTTCGATATATTAATGTGAATAGGAAAAATGAAACTCTAAAAAAGTAATTAATATAAATAAATATAACGGTGAATTAAGGATAATGCGCTTATGTGAAAATAATAATAGTAATAATAGTAATAATAATAATATAAAACAAAAGTAAAGTTATATACCTTTATATCTTGTGCCTTGAATATATTAGATTATCGCTGTAAATAAAGTTGAATGATATATAAAGTTATTTTGAATTGGAATGTTAAAATAGGTACAACGTTCATTTGTAACACAATTTAGTGTTGCGTTAGAATTATCAAGAGCAAGCTTCTTCTTAGTGCTTTTTAATACTATATTAATTATGTATCACACTATGTATCCACCACAAATGATGGTGCAGATTATGGGTGGCCAACATGCAAACGGACAATATCTATCAACACCAACACAAATGGTACATATTAATGGTACAAATGTATTATCAACGGCAGACTATACGCAATATATACCTGATGTGTCTGGCCATAATAGACATCATATGATGCAGGTATTTCTTTAATGTTACATAGCTTTGTGTTAGAGGCTTTTTACGATATGGTTTATTATTTTGAATTTGTAATGATTTGTCCTACTTATTATTTTATGTAATAACATTGTTTACAACTGCTTCGCATTGGTAGCCACATTTACATTACTGTCTCTTTTTTTAAAATTAATTTTGAATGAATATTTTGAAGAAATTAAGAAATACTTTCCAGACTGGAAGTTATCCATTGGAGTTATTGCAATTAATGGGTGTTGATATTCCTTCATTGCGGCACATAGATTATGTCAGTAATGTAGGTACTGGTTCGGGCTCAGGAAATTGGCCAAGGCGAATTATACCGCCAAATAATAATTCTCCGTTACAACCACTCCAGCATCTAAATTTTAGACCAACGAATAATAATTCAATAAAGAAACAACATTGGAGTAATAAAACAAGTAAAAAAAGTTTGTATAGAGAAAACTTTATGCATAATGATAAATATAATAGTGATAGTGGCTTTAGTTCCCGTTCTCCAACCCCCAGTAAATGTCAAGCTGATAGTAGCCAGAATGAAAGTTCAGATGAACGGGATTCTATAACATCTTCAATTGAACAAGGAATCAAGTAAGCACAGCAAACAAACATCTTTAACACTAGATTTACGAACTGAGCCAATTTGACTCATCTCCAATTTTTTTTAATACATATATACAAAACTTACATATTATTTTTTTAAAATACATGTTGTTCTTAAGTTACCTAATGAAATATATTTAAATATTAATTCCTACCCTCTATTCAAAATCTTTCATTTAAACAATGTTTGTAAGTCATTAAAAAATATTGAACAAAACATCCGTAAATCTAGTGTTAACAATACATTGAGCGTCATGCGAATTTTTAAGTAAATCTTTGTCAGGCCAACGCGTGTTATTTTGTATTGAAAAAAAAAAAAAGTTGAACATCAGTCGCCAGTGACTTACCTCAAGAATTTCCTTAAGAATTCGCGTGGCACTTAACAACGTGTTTAACTCTTTCGCTTCAGCGTTATTGAAACAAAATATGATCGCTGCGTACGAAGCTCATTGTTCTTTCGTATTTGATCGTGTACTTTTTGAGAACGTATATATATATATATATATACACGCTCTTCGGAACGAAAGGGTTAATCGATTTTATTTCTAATAAATAATAAAACAATGGCTAAATCTATAGAATAAAATAATTTACTATTTTGTTGTAGAAAGTTGCATAGAGTGCAATCAGACTATAGTATTGTTAATAATAAAATTACAGAAGAGGGTTTTATTCCAAGTGCTTCAGCACATCAATTTTATCAAAATCAACGACCTATTAATTATTATCCTGCTTTTTCAACTCCTAGAACATTACAAAATTATCAGAATAAAAGGAGGTATCAAACAGGTGATTAAAATATTATCTTATTTCTATTATTTATATTATTGTAACAGACACATTTTTATTTTATTTTAATCAAATAGAAATTGATGCATTGATCGTAGGTAAAGGTAGTCCGCCCCCTCCGAGATCTCAACGGGGTAAAAAGTTCACAGGAGTAATATTACCAGGTTACAGTATGTTTCCTAGGTATTATACTGCTCCAGATCGATTTCTTGCTAGATCTCATCTCGTCGAAGTCAATTATACTCCAGCTGATTTAATAACCGGAAGCACGTGGGATAAACTTTCACAGGACATTTGGAAAAAGTTTATAACAAATCAACAGACTGAAGTCGTTTATAGAAATAAAATGAATCTTTGGAAATATCTCTATGTTTTGATAAAGGTAAATATTCACAAATGAATATACTAATGGACAAATTTTTCTAATCAAAATATTTAAACATTAATATAAATAGCGAAGTAAGAAAAGTAATAATCTTCATTATAATAAATATTATTATTATTAATAGGGAACATTTCCAAAATATGGATTATTTTTGGTCGGCTCTACAATGAATGGATTTGGATCTGACAATAGTGATGTAGATATGTGCTTACTAGTGAGACATACAGAAATGGATCAAAGAAATGAAGCTATTGGGCACTTAGATCAAATATTAAGGTGTCTCAAACGATCTGGTAACATTTATTATGATTAATTTATTAATATTTCTAATAATAATATTTACACATCATTATTAGAATGAATTTAATTAAAAATAATTGTGTATCTTTTATTGTTTATTAGATATTATAACAAAACTTGTACTTATACAAGCAAAAGTTCCAATCTTAAAGTTTCACGATGCTATGCAAAATTTGGATGTCGATCTTAATTGCAATAATGCTGTAGGAATTCGTAATACTCATCTTCTTTATTGTTATTCCCAAAGTAAGCGTGCAAGTAAATGAAAAAAAATGGATATTTAAAAATTCAATATGTTGTTCATTTATATTTATTTTTCAGTTGACTGGAGAGTAAGACCTTTAGTTCTAATTGTCAAATTATGGGCTCAATCTCAAGATATAAACGACGCTAAAAATATGACAATTTCTAGTTATTCTTTAGTTTTAATGGTCATACATTTTCTACAATGTATGTTTTATTTGATCAAAGAATATATAATTATGTTTTAACAGAAATTATTTTAATATATCATCTTATAAAAGTAAATTTGTGATATATCATTAGGTGGCGTCAATCCTCCAGTTCTTCCTTGTTTACATTCTTTATACGGATGGAAATTTGGACCACACACGGATATTCATTCCATAGACATTAATGAAAAATTAAACATTCCACCTACATGGTTTTGTCCAAGTAATCGTCAATCTCTTGGGGAACTTCTTGTAGAATTTTTTAGATATTATGTCACATTCGAGTGAGTTATTTCTCACTATGTAATATTTTTAATATGTTTTTTTTTTTTTTTTCAATATTACACATTTGATAATCCAAATTGATAATCCAGTTTCAGCCAATACGCTATTTCCGTGCGTTTAGCGCGTAAAGTATTAATCGAAGATTGTAGGAGAGCACGATCATTGAAAAATGATCCACATCAATGGAAATGTCTATGTATCGAAGGTGAGTGTGAGTGAGTTAATGTTTTAGCTACAAATTCTTTATATATATATATCTATATACATTCACAAATTGTATATTTTACTTTATAGAACCATTTGATTTGACAAATACTGCTCGGTCAGTATATGATCCGGATGTATTTGCAAGAATCAAGCTAATATTTGACTGTACCTATCAAAAACTAAAAGAAGGTTATAATTTAGCTAGCATCTTTGTTAAAGTAAACACTATGTCATCTTATGCTATGACATAATGATATCCTAAATGTTAGTGCTATATGCGCTATATAGGATAATCAGGTGCTTCCACATATTTTGCATTAGCAATGGTCCTCTTTTAAGCTAGAGGTATTTTGAATATTTATCACCTAACGGTGTAAATAATGATATACACTGTGATGAAATAATTCTGAGCTCGTCTCAGTTTAAATGTGATAATAATTTAGCATGAATTCATCTTATTTTATTGATATCTATTAGGCATAAAACTTTTCTAATAATGTCCCTTTTTTTCTCCATCTTGTCTGAAATTATTTTCTATGCAAATCTTAAATTATATTCGTTATACATCTTCAATATCATTTCACTCGCTATTATGATCTATCATCATCATTATTTTGGTAAGATACTTGTGTGTACACTATTGAAATGGTTTTTTTTTTTTTT